TGTGTGTGTGTGTGTGTGCGTATGCGTGTGGCGTGTATGTGTCCGTGTGCCTGTGTGTGCGTATACGTGTACGTGTATGCGTGTGTATGTGCCCGCGCGCGCGCGTGCGTGCGTGCGTGCGTGCGTGCGTGTGTGTGTGTGTGTGTGTGTGTGTGTGTGTGTGTGTGTGTGTGTGTGTGTGTGTGGTGTGTGTGTGTGTGTGCGTGTGCGTGTGCGTGTGCGTGCGTGTTGTGCGTGTGCGTGTGCGTGTGCGTGTGGCGTGTGCGTGTGCGTGTGCGTGTGCGTGTGCGTGTGCGTGTGTGTGTATGTGTGTTTATGTGTGTGTCGCAAAGATGATCTGACAGTTCCAAATATGCAGGAATAACATACATACATAGATATGCAGATACATATAAAGTGGTTGAGGAGGAGGCCACTTCTATTGTCGTTTTGAGGGAGGGAGAGAGAGGAGAGAAAAGGAGGAGGGAGGAGGAGAGGGAGAGGGAGAAAGGAAGGAGGGAGGAGGAGGGAGGAGGAATAGGAGGAGGAGGAAGGGAGAGGGAGAAGAAGAAGAAAGGAGGAGGAGAAGAAGGAGGAGAGGAGGAAGAGGGGGAAGAAAAGGGAGAGAGAGAAAAGAAGAGAAAAGGAGGAGGAGGAGGAATAGGAGGAGAGGAGAGGGAGAAGAAAGGAAGAAGAAGGAGGAGGAGGAAAGGAGAGGGAGGAGGAATAGGGGGAGGAGAGGGAGAGGAGAAAAGAAGAGAAGAGGGAGGAGGAGGAGTAGGAAGAGAGAGTGGCGGAGGAGAAGGAGAAGAAGAACAAGAACAAGAAGAACAAGAAGAAGTGGAAAAGGAGGAAGATAAGAGAAGAGAAAAACAAAAAACCAACAACAAAAGACAAAGCAGAGAAAAAAGAAAAGAAAAGGAGGAGGAGGAAGGAAAGGAGAGAGGGGGGAGGGAGGGGGAGAAGGGGAGGAGAATGAGGCAGCAGGATAGTGACGAGAGCATGGATCCTCGTATTGTATGGATATGAGAGAAGACAGGACTGCCTCAAGACAAATCACACGCTTCCTTGACACTCTTGTCTGGGACTCCTTTTTAGGACTCCTCCTGACAACAGTCCAGCAGGAGGAGGGGGGGGTTAGGGGGTTAGGGGGGTAAGGGGAGGGGGTTGGTATGAGAGAGGGAGGGAAGGACGAAGGAGACGAAGGGAGGGAAGGGAGGAAGGAGGGAGGAGGGAGGGAGGGAGGGAGAGGAGGGAGGGGAGGGAGGAGGAGGGAGGGAGGGAGGGAGGGAGGTGAGGGAGGGAGGGAGGGAGAGGTGGGAGAGAGAGAGAGAGAGAGAGAGAGAGAGAGAGAGAGAGAGAGAGAGAGAGAGAGAGAGAGAGAGAAAGAAAGAAAGAAAGAAAGAAAGAAAGAAAGAAAGAAAGAAAAAGAAGAAGAAAGAAAGAAAGAAAGAAAGAAAGAAAGAGAGAGAGAGAGAGAGAGAGAGAGAGAGATAGAGAAAGAGAGAGAGAGAGAGAGAGAGAAAGAGAGAAAGAAAAAAAAAAGGGAAGGTCATCAGTTCTCCTTGTTTTGTGTTCTCTCACATATTACTTTTCCTTGCTATTCGGAGTTCCTCGACCCTTCCTTTTTATGTTCATAATCTCCATCTTTTTGAAGAAGTCTAATCCACTTTTACATTGTTTCATCATATTCACACAAACTTTTATTTTTTAATCTTTAACCACGGGCGGTTTTTTTTTTTTTTTTTTTTTTTTTTTTTTTTTTTTACACCAACGGCAGTCACAAGAACCTGCAACAATTCTGAACAATTATTTCTGAACAAATGTAAATGGCTCTAAACCGTTACACCCATTCCCTGTAACAAATTAGATTCAACATTGTGCAACATAATAACGAATCTATGGAAATTTAACATTGCACAAAACCGTAGGAATTCTAAGTGAATTTAACACTCTACAAAACTCTAGTAACGGTTAAAAAAATCTAATACATTCTACCAGACACGTGTACGAATCATTTTAAAACGCCGCTTATGACATTCTGTTACAAAATTGCAAAATAAATGTATTCTAGAATGACTCCCGTATCGTATTGTACAATTTCAAGCATTTCTTAAATTCCATACATCTCTAAGCATCTTTATGTCTTTACAGCGAGATATTGCAAGCGACTATGAACTCTAAAGCCATTCTAATTGTAGTAATGTAATTCTGGCAGCCAACTTTTAGCTCTTCCATGAATTCAAACAAGCCTAATGTATCTAGAATTATTCCAAAGATTAGCTGCGGCAGTGCCATGAATGCTAACAACTTAGAAAGATATTCTAACAACCACCTGTAGCAATTTTATGAATTCTAACAATTCAAGAGATATTTTAAACACCCACCTGCCGCAATGCCATGAATTCTAACAACGTGAAAAGCCTACTAACAACCACCTGTGACAAATAAATACAATTTCAAACAATCTGTACTCCACCTCGGTACCTTCATCAACTAACAACCACTCGTTCATCCACAACACCCACCCATAACCCCTCGTACCGTCCACCTACAACTTTAAACCATCTACAACCTAAAGGTCAGAGAACAACCTGTACTCCACCTCGGAACCTTCATTACCCAACAACCACTCATTCATCCACAACACCCACCCACAACCCCCTCGTCCCCTCCACCCACAACCTCGAACCCCCTCCAACCTCCAGGACAGAGAACAACCGCCGCCACTCACCTAGGCTGGTCAGCGCCGATGCCGCCGCCTGGGTGTCCTTGCACTTCATGGCGAGGACGAGCTGGTACCGGTGGGAAGTGAGGGCCTCCTTGTAGTTCCCCTTGCTGAAGTAGGCGCTGCCGAGGTTCCCGTGCGCCCGACACTCGCCGGCGATGTCCCGACGACTTGGCCACCGCGAGGTCCTGCTGCATGTAGGAGACCGCCTGTGGGTCGAGAGGGAGAGAAGGGAGATTTTTTTTTTTTTTTTTTTAGTTTTAATTCCATTTGTTACAATGGATATTCTTTGCTGTGACATACTGTCTGTTTTATTTTGCCCAAATCTCCCCCTGTGTGCAAGGAATGGCCGGGGATACCACTCACTGGCCGGGCGTGGGATCGAACGCAGGTCCGCAAGATTGCTAGACCAGCACCTTACCGCTGCACCAGCACAGCACAGGAGAGAATGTGGCGTTAGGATGGGAGAGGGACTTTTTCAGGGAAGAGGGGCAGGGAAGAGCAGTGCTTGGTTGTATGTATGTGTGTATTGGATATATGTTTATATGTATGCACGTATCGTCTTGATGAATAATGTATGTATGCATGTCTGTATGTATATATATATATATATATATATTATATATATATATATATATATATATATATATATATAATATACATATATATATTATATATATGTTTATATGTTTTTTATGTACGTATCGTCTTGATGAATAATGTATGTATGCATGTCTATATGTACGTGTACGTATATCTATCTATCTATCTATCTATCTATCTATATATATATATATATATATACATATCACACACCCCACCACACACACACACACACTGCATATATATATATCTATATATGTATATATATATATATATATATATATATATATATATAATACATATACATACATACACGCACACACATACATACATATGTGTGTGTGTGTGTGTGTGTGTGTGTGTGTGTGTGTGTGTGTGTGTGTGTGTGTGTGTGTGTGCGCGTGCGTGCGTGCGTGCGTGCGTGCGTGCGTGCGTGCGTGTAACAGTAAATGAATGTTTGTATGTATGTACGGAAGGCATGTACACATATATGAACGGACGTATGTATTTATGCTTATATGTGTTTTTCCAGTATGCATGTTCATTACGTACAGACATACTTGCATGACTGCCCAGCTGATGGAAAGCGACAAAGTATATACAAATATATTGTCCACAATATATGCATAATAAATGCATATTTATCACGAACCTGCCCCAGTGATACGTATTAATTTTTACAGCTGTCATGTTGAACTTTTAGCCCATCAGTCAAATCAGCGATATATCGTGGGTGATTATATATGTGGGCTCTTCGAAAAGCTTTCTAGTTATAACCCACGACGCGAATTAAATAGCAAAACTCACTTTTTTTTCCATCCGCACGAAAATATGCAGAGCTATTGACGACTTATCAATGGAGGGAAAGTCAAAATATCAACATCATTATCGCAAATAAGCTGTTTTTTTTTTTTTTTTTTTTTTGAGGGGGGGGGGAGGGTGGTTCTTCCTTTTCAGACTGGGATTCTTTTTATACGATTATTTCGCGAATCGGAGTTTTTTTTTGAACTGAACTTGAAGCTGCGGCGAATGGGCAGAAAGTATTACCGTCTTTTATCTATTTTCATTTTTTTTTTTTTTTTTTTTTTTGTATTTCTGTTCGCCAAAGAAGAAAATCTGATCACAAATAGAATACCACTCACAAAGACAGATTTTTAAGTGTGGTGCAATACGATTTTATAAGCACGTATGTTTGGATATCAGCATTCTTGCTTATAATCTAATACCAAAGGAATAGATTCAGAAACAAACAGACTTTTTTCAAATCAAAAATGAAAAATAGCGCCTGGTATAGAATATAAAACTTTCAAGGAACAAAAAAACAGGCATTCTTGGAATACACATTTCCTCAATGAAGGAGCATCTGAGGACACGTGTGTGTGTGTGTGTGTGTGTGTGTGTGTGTGTGTGTGTGTGTGTGTGTGTGTGTGTGTGTGTGTGTGTGTGTGTGTGTGTGTGTGTGTGTGTGTGTGTGTGTGTGTGTGTGTGTGTGTGTGTGTGGTGTGTATATATAATTAAAAAAGAAACAAACAAAACAATAATCAATTTCAGACATATACAAAACAGCAATAAACACCCCCCCCCCCAAAAAAAAAAAACAACCAATGGAAACCACCCCGGCGCCATCTTAACCCCCAACCACCACCCCCATACACCAACCCCAGACCCCACCCCCAAACCCAACCCACCC